ACGGCTTGGACATACAATTTGTCCATCCAGGGTCCTGGCCGAGATGTGAAGATTAGCGGTACCTTGAAACCTTTGCAGGGTCCGCAGATGAAGCTGGGCTTCCCCCTGCTAGGCCTTTCACAGTGGTTCGAAGCTGTGACACAATGATGGCCCAGATCCGAGAAGACGCACGACGTTTGGACGAGACGAACCAGGAGGTACAGGCCACTCAGGAGTTCGATACGGTCTTGGATGACTAAAGCCCTACTCAATGACTTGCTGCCGCTTGATGTTCCTGAGATGAAAGGATGCCGGCTTGATCAAGAATCCTAGCATGGCTAGATTTTGTGATGGTCTTGTGGGCCTGGATTTATTCATAAATTGCAGTGGATGGAAAAATGCGCATGCAGCTTGGTTGATGGCAGCGGGCATGTCAACTTCAAACTCATGTTCATGTGACAGCCAATCACATTCAAGCTCATGTGATTTATGCGACAGCGCAATTCAAATTCAAACTCAGTGGCAAACTGTTCCATTTTTAGTTGCGACGAGTTGAATTGCAAAATGAGGTTCACGTTTCCACCTTGCAGCGAATCATGCAGAAATTGGGTTCAGCATCATTTGGAATCAGGTAACGAAGTTCCTGCTGACGTTGAAGGCGAGCAAACGTTCATGTCTTGGAAGGCTTCATCCAAGAACATGCCGAATTTCATTTTCAACGTTCCAACATGCTTTACTGCAAAATCTTGTCACTTGAAAACATTGGGGAGTGAATTTCTGGCGCGAAGATTCGTGGGACGGTAAAGATTGAAAGAAATCAGAATCGATGGAATTAAGGAAATCAGAATCAATGTCACATTAGCTTTGAGTTTAGTTTCAACCTTTCACAGCTGGTAGCGAATTCGCTGGGGAAGGATATTGCGTCCACAAGACTGCTGCGTGCGAGCTTTTGGCTTTCAGGCTGGCCGGCGACTGACTGGGCATTGAACAGTCCAGAAGTTTTGAACTCAACCTTGACCAACAACCTTGCCGCATTCAGAATCAGATAAAGTCAGTGTCAGGCGCTACTTCAAAAAGACTCCCCAGGAAAACGTGACCACAGACAGTAGTAGACTGTTGAAGGGCTAAGTAGACAGTTGCAGACAGAAGTAAACAGTGATCAGGAATCAGGAGGGGACCTTTTGTATTCTGCCATGCTGCCTTGGAGACCTGGTTGGAAGATGATGATGATCCTGTCCCATTTCCCATGTGTCAGAGCCAAGGCTGGGTTTTGAACTTGAAGGGCTTCATTGTGGGTGTGGGCAAAGTTTTTCATCACGTGTGAAACGGCAAAGACTGTCATTGGAGTGCACTTCATTGCAACCATTCAGAGTCATTGTCAACTGGCATTGGAGTCACTGTCACGGTGCATTTGTTTTCAATGCTGCTAAGTTTGAGAATTCATGCCTTGATGCTGCCAGATCATTGTCACCGACCTTTGTCATTGACACAAGTCATCAACTCAGCATTTGAGCTGCTTCTCGACTGCTGCTGTGGAACCTTTTGATTCTTTCAAGTATTTGTTTGAATACCATTTTCGGTTGTTTCAGGCTGCAATTGGGACGCGGCGGCTGCGCTTCACAGGTTGGAATGTTGGTGTCGCAGGTTACAGTTTCGCAGGTGTCAAAGCCCGCGTAAGCCAAGATTATATAGTCATGAGGTTCGTGCGCAATGCGCTGTGGTGTCCGTTCACCCCAAAGCTAGTGAAAAACGAGTGTGACAAAGTCAGGGCAACATGTCCATGGAGCTCCGCCTCGCGCTGTGGCCTTTCTGCTGCAGGGTTTGGAGCCACGCAGTGGGCTGAAGCGACTGCTGCGCCAGGACCGAATGCATGGGCGGATTGGATGCTGCAGCCGAAACAGTCTTTCAGCTATCATGTGACATGGTTTCAAACTCTTATGCGACATGATTTCAAACTCTTTGTTTCAACCTGTGACAGCAACACATGTGAGAAGAAACCGCTGAAACCCCTATGTGCCATGATCCGAAGAAAGCGTGACAGCTCGAGAACTAGGTTTGAGCGCAATCCCTAAGTACAGCTCTTACCTCCGTCCTGCCACTTTCGACTTGAGCGATGCCAGCTTTCGATGGCGGATGGCCCAACAAAGATGCAGCAATTCGATTCTTACAATCTGTTGCCGGGGAGAGAGCGTGCCCATCGTGCTACTACCCGTACTTCAAGGGTTACCTGACCTCTCCTGAGAGACACAGTGTAAAGGCTACTTCAAAAGATTGCTGGTGTGATCTGTGTGATCGTGAAGGCAAAAAGGAGGTGATGATGGTCACTGAGCAGTAGCAGCAGCAGCTCTGTAATGATAGCCACTGCCAATTGACAAGTGGGTGAGGCGTGTTTCATTTCTCACCATTTTTGCTTTCCTTGGTGAGCAGTCATCATTCGTGACATTTCAATATTCTTACCATTGTGACTGTCACTGCTGCTATTAATCATGCAAAGACAGGCTTGCACAGGAACGCAGGTGAGCAACTCCCACCCTGTTTTGCTTTGGTCGACCTTCCAACGGTCGGAGGATTTAAGTTTGGGCCCAACAGAGGGTGAAACATGCTGTGCCCGCGCAGAAAAATAGGCAGGAAATCCAAAACAGCGGCTACGACCCATCGTTGTTGGTTGATTTTTCCAGAAGTGTCACCGCGGTTACGCGCATGTTGCTGCAGGACGACCGCACCGCATGATTTTGGGCTGTCGCAATCTCAGCCACATGTTTTGACTTAAATTTCTGGCAGACTTCAAGGCCCACCCACTAACGCCGCATGACTCACTGAGCTTCATGATGCCAGGTTTGAATTATCAGATTGTCGAATTGAATTTTCAGAATAGAGATGAATTTGATATGTCAGTATGTTCATCTTGACTCCTTGTCTCAGTGACATTTGTGACTGCGTGTCAACCGATTTTTGGATCAATTTTGGGCAGCAGGTCACGACATGGCACCGCCATCTTGGTGGTCTGATCCAATGGCGTCTTCGTCCGGTCACTGGCCACTGGCGTCTTCCTCGTCGCCACCTTCGGCATCCACCTCTGAGGCGTCCAGTCGATTGCCACCTTGGGCGTCCGCTTATCTGGAGTCTGAGGCGTTGAGGCAATGGCCACCATGCAAGCGTAAGCGCCCACAACCTGGACAAAGCGTCACCAGTCCAATGGCCTCTGAAATGGCCTCTCAGCCGTCGAGGCAATGGCCACATTCTGAGTCCAGTCCAGTGAACTCTGAAATGGCCTCTGAGGCGTCCAATCAAATGCCACCTTGGCCTCTGAAGCACCTTGGGCGTCCATGCCACGTTGGGCGTCCAGACCAGTGGCCTCTGAGTCTGAGGCGTGGAACTCGCCACAGGAACCTGAACCAGAACCTGAGCACTAACAAAGGGCTCACTACTTGGTCTTTAAAAGACGAACTTAGGGTTGGTGACTTGCGACGAACCAAAATTTGGTTTTGTGACCAGACGGAATTTTGGTCTTTGGACTGCAGACCGTGCAGTCCTTCGACGCACAACGTGTGGAAAAAATCACGAGCTTGGTCTGTGGATGATGAAGCAGCCACCAGTTTTCACACTCCTTGCTTGATTGTTTTTAATTGTGTTCCCTGAGCTCTCTTCTTCACTATGCAGCCACTTGCGACGCGAGGCCGGGTTGCAATCTTTTTGGAAATTTCAGTCAGTGCCATCAAAAAATTTTCCATTTATGATAATCATATTATGACCGAATCACTTAAGCTGTCCCACCTGCCTCCCAGTGACCCACAACGGTTGATGTTGCGCATGGATGAGCAGGTCACCAAACTTTGAGCCTTTGAACTTGAACAATAGTGTGAAACATGGATTTGTAAATGAAAATACTCCTCTTAAGCCATTGTCAGAATTTGAACATACTTTCTGCGCCACAACATGTGACTTCTGAAACCACATACCACCTCGAAGTGGCCACGCTTCCAGGACAAATGGCACAAATGCAGGCCTAGATTCTTTCTGCTTCAAGCGGAATGAAGTGGCGTGCATTTGAGCCCGAAGGTGAGAATGTGTGATGAAGTTGCAATTGTTATCAATTTGATATGCGTGTGGCGGGGCGCCAAACATGTCTGCAAGACCAAACCCCCATCATAGCAATTCTCAATCAGTCTCAGTGTCAAGCCCAAGTTTCATCACTCAAATTCAATGACTTTGCAACGGTTCAGACTCAAATTTCAGAATCCAAAATTTGCATGTCGTTGTGCGCAACCAGACAAAAATCATATTCGTACCCGCGTTCGGGCCCACGTCGTTCGTACCCGCGTTCGGGCC